GGGAGGGCCGGTAATCCCTTTTTAAAATGCCCTTTCGCGTGGCATCTCATTAGTTTATGATGCATTTTCAACACGAGTGTTTCCTTGGGCCAAACTGTCATTTCTAAACCTAGGATTAAGTAATTGTATAAAGATTTTTTAACCATTATTTTTATCGGTTTTAAGATGGGTTAACAGTAGTAATAAAAGTGTATGGTATTGGTGCTACATTGGGGACAGAATGTCAGCTTTAACTCACCAGAGCTTGCTTACTGGCTGGGAGATGGAAAATAGGTGATAACAATACTGTGATAAATGTTAGGAGAAAAGAGGGGAGACAGGCACTGAGTGTGCAGCCAGAGCAGACCAGGACAGTAGAGTTAGGGAGGTTTGCCTGGAAGAGTAACTTTTACAAAGAGGCCACATGCAGAGACCAGTAGTGGTGTTTCTGGCTGAGAAAAATAACATATTTGAAGACCTGATTGTGAGAATCAAGGTAGGCACACCTGACAGAAATTCAGTATGAGTAATAGGAACAATTGTGAGTGGAGATAATTGTGAGTGTGGAAATGCTGAGCCCTTTTGACCTCAAGATACCATAGTTCAGCTTTCTCTTCAGGTAACAAAGCTAAAGATCCTCCTCATTCATCATATGAGAGTGCTGTCTTGTGGTGCATTTGTTGATTTTTTTGTATTTGCTATCATATGAGCGTCTTAGCTGACAGAGAGGAGGTAGGTGCCTTAAACTGAGGGAAACATGCATGTTAAGTAACCTCAGATATATCTGCAAGATGTTGTGAAGTACTGAGGGAGGCAGGACCTGGAGCAATTGGGAACATAATGTTTGGGGTGAAGCTTGAAAGAAAAAGAGTAGCAGTTTGATAGGTGAACAAGTTGGGGGTATGTGGGTATGCCTGCAGGGGGGTGCAATTTGGATGAAAAGAAATTAGGTCTTGCATTCATACCTTTGAGTGATCCACAGTAAATAACAGTTTCTTCATCCTTCAATGTATACATCTCTAAAAGATGTAATGAATCAAAGAATTAATGAAATAAAAAGCTGTTAGTTTAATGTCATATTCCTTGCTTTGTAAGTTTTCTTAAAAGTTTATTCACCATGCCTTTACTCTCTATGTCAGCAAGATCACAACCTGGCGTGATTTCTCAGCTCCCCACACTTATTCCCAGTCACACTAAAAACACTGTGTCTGTGGTTATTTTACACTTTTTCAGAGTGACTAAGTTTCAATCTAGATGTAAAGCATGAATTTCTGCTTTTTGATCTTAAAAAAAGAGTATGAAGGTTTAAGCTTCACATTTTATAAATCAGTGAAACTCTTTTTAAAAAAGTTTAATACATATAGCCTTGTCCAGGAACCCTCAGTTCATGGAGGGTAGCCAGGCAGTGACCAGAAACCAGCCCCTTCTTAGAAAAATCATAAAGGCTGCTGTACATCCCTGGATAGAAAGAATCAGAGGAGAGGGAGAGATCTTACCAGTGCTGTGAAGCCCCACACCGAGCGCCAGTTTTGATGATCTCATTTTGGAATGGTGTTGGGTTCTGAGAGCCGGGTCTTTGGGTTACCTTAGAGAAGAGTTTCACCAGAGCACCCCTTCCTGCACCACACAAGTTTCCCTACAAGGCAAAGATGTATTTCCAAAAGGGCAGGTTTATTATACAAAAAGGAAACAAAAGAAAAAAGATGCTTGCACAGATGAAAGTGGGCAGAGAAAGCTGCATCTGAAAGGGACAGGTTTGTTAAAAAGCAGTGCCTGCTTTGTTTTGAGGGGGGTGCATTTGGGTTGTTTCCATATCTTACCAATTGCAAATAGTGCCACAGTAAACATAGGGGTGCAGGTATGGACCTGGGGAAAATAATTATACTAAATTAAACAAAATTAACAGGCAAATATAAATCAGAGAGACACAGGAGAATGGGGGAGGGGCCAAAGCAGGAGGAAAGAGCACCAGGGACTATGGTGATGGTGCACGGTAGGTGAACTGGTGATGGGAATTATGCAGGAACTACACCTGAAAGGCAAAAGCAAGCACTGGGCAAAAAGGAATATGTAAAATATATATTAAATTGAATTAAAGAAATCCAAAGTTAAGGTGCATTAAAAATTTTTAAATATAAAAGAGATAACTTATAAAATAAATATATATATAAAAGAGATGCCTGCATAGACACAGGCAGGCAGGAGAGCTGCCCTCTTTAAAAAGTTTTTTTTTTTAATAATAGTTTATTTTTACATCATTTTGTGCATTTTTCCATCTCAGTTGCAATTCCCTGTGGGCTTCCCATCACCAAATCACCCGTGTGTCATCACCATAGTCCAGTGCATTTCCCTCCCCCCACTGTTTTTGATCCCATTCCCCACTCCACCTCCATAAAATGTCTCTGGTGTACAGCTGTTCATTATTATTATTATTATTTTCTCACCTGGTCTGTTATACTCCTGCTATGAGTGAAACCATCCGGTATTTTTCCTTTACTTTCTGGCTTATCTCACTAAGCATGATCCCTTCCAGCTCCATCCATGTTGCTGCAAAAGTCATGAGTTAATCATTTTTGGTTGCTGAGTAATATTCCATTGTGTATATGTACCACATTTTTTTAATCCAGTCATCCACTTTTGGGCATTTGGGCTGTTTCCATGTCTTTCCAATTGTAAACAAAAAAGCAATAAACATGGGGGTGCAGGTGTCTTTTGGGTAGATACCTAGGAGTGGGATTGCTGGGTCATATGGAAGCTCCATGTTTAGCAGTTTGAGGAACCTCCTTTAAAAAGGAGGTTTTAACGGTGGTAAATTAAAAAGGTTTTAATGGTGGTAAAAGACAACATAAAATTTACCAGTATAACATTACACAATTCAGTAGTGTTAATTACAATGTAATACAGCCAGTCTACAGAACTTTTTACTTTATTTGAAAATCTTCAATTTTTATATGCCAAGTTGATAAAGAATACCCTGTAAGAACAATCATTGCGAAGATTTATTTTTTTAATAGTTATGGAATTTAGCCCATGGGGATTACAACTGAGATGGAAAGAAGCACAGAATGATATAAAAAATATTATTTAAAAAAAATATGGAATTTGTTTATGTGCGTGGTATATGTATACATGATTGTTTTAACTTTTTAATTTAATCATTTGTGATAAAAATAAAGAATTTTTTTTTTAAGATTTTTTTTTTTTTTTTATTTAGGGCATGCAAGAATGGGTGTAGGCTAGAAGTGTGGGCGGGTACAAGGATTAACCAGAGTCAGAGTAGGGAGTAGAACAGTGGATCTCTTGAAATACACTGCTGACAGAGCAACAGGCGAGACTGGAGAGATCTGTTGCATCATGTGGATCACCTCCCTGGATGGGGATTGAACTCTTGCTGCAGTGGCTGCCAAAAGTTCATAGTGCTGAGTCTTTAACCCTTTGCGCCACCAAAAAAGAATTTTCTTTAACAATTTGCTAAATCTGTACAGCTCAACAGTTTAATCTGGTTGCTTATTTTTCAACTTAAATACAAGGCCAAGATCAAAATCTCTGAAGGTATAGACCTAAAAGAACCAAAGAACAGCTAAAATTCT